GTCTAACAAGTGTAATAGCACCACGCCACTTCAAGGACACGAGTGCAAGTAGAGGTAAAGTTCGTTGTTAACAAGACCTAAAGAAAAATGAGAACTTGTTTGAGCCCCAAATTCATCTAAAATCTTACGTCTATAATCTGTAAGTGACTAAATGTTGGCATTATACCATAAAATTATTTTACCCACTGATTATTGTGACACAAGCATTTTGTAATACAGAATTTTGGTGCAACATTCCTAACTAAGTAGTCCTGACTTATGAATAATTGTTTATCTATAACTGTTCACGAAATGTTTAGACAAAACTCAGCAATCTACTAACCGCGCGAGATCTCACTTTTGAAATGCATATTGACTTCTCCAAATATGTAGCAAGGTGAAGAAATAACCAATACTTTAATGTAAGGAATTAACTATGAAGCAACTTTTGGAAAATTATGTTACTGAAAGTATGTTTTTTTTTCTTCATTCTAATGAAAGTGTATACTTCCCATTTCCCAGGTACACACACACACATTGAATGTTATTGTATAAGCATTGATACAACAAGTCTTGTGATATTATACCCACCGCCCTTCTAGTATTAAAGAGTTACTCTAGCGCGCGCCCTGAAATCGTTGTTGTGATATCATATTCACCCTTTCTCGTGTTACATTCTATAAATTCCATTGAGTTTATTCTAAAGGGCTCATCGAAGGAAGCCGTTTTAGATGTTATTGCTGGATGTGCTATTTTGCTGTGGTGACACTCGAACCACAAACTCTACGTTTAAGAGGAGTGTGTTGATAGATTGAAGTCTCCCACAGCCAGCTGGATCTTCAGTGCTTTTCTTGTTAGTTTCCAAAAGAGAAATCTCAGATAATGAGAGCGTTTGGCTGTTTATAACGATTATGAGGTTTGAAGAAATGATCATGTGAATGAAATAAAATACACACACACACAAATATATACATAGATTAACTAAAACTCGTTATAATTTTACAGTATGTTCGTTATACGCAGGTGAAAACCACCAGCCAGCTCTACGATTTGTGATAGAGCCTCCATATCGGGTTGATTTCTACAACTCCAACGGGACTGTTATTCCTTGTTCCGCATCAGGAGAGCCTTTACCTATCACCGTAAACTGGGAGTCACATGATGGTGCGTATGTGACAAATATTACGGGACTCCGGAGCGTTAGGCCGGATGGCAAGCTCGTTTTCCCACCGTTTTCAGCCAAGGATTACCGCCAGGATATCCACGCCACCACGTACAGGTGCGTACTGTCCAACTCCGTGGGAAAGATATCAAGCAGAGACGTTCATGTTTTAGCAGGTACGTACTTGAAGTTTGATTTTCGACTTCTATGTATATCTATTTGGGGGTGGGGGAGCATCAGATACGTCCAACCCCTACATAATATCACAGGAACGCATTATTTGTTTGTTAAATGTCGAGAAACACCAGAAATTTCATAAAACAAGCTTATGTTATATTTAAGATGAGTGAAGCTAAAATCATAAATAATATTCAACGTTAAACTGGTACACAATTAAAAACATTTTATTTAGGCCTATCTAACGTTGAATATTTTTTATGATTTTAACTTTATACACAAGTGCCAAAATACTATGATGAGTGAAGCTAATTTAACCCGATCAGTATGACAAATAAATGCAACAAATGATTCTTTAATTTTGTCATATTATGGATTTAGTAGGAATGGTGAAAGAAGTACAACGGTTATGGTGTACTCATACGCTGGTGTACATAACTCTTGGGTGTATATATATATATCATAGGGTTGTGCATGGCCTAATGGTTTAGAGCGCCGGACTGTGATTCTGAGGGTCCATGGTTCTCGTACCGTTGTCGCAAAAATGCGCTCTCAGTTTCGGGCCGTGGGTGCGTTATAAGAGTGATGGTCAAATTCAATAAGAGGAGCTGAAGTGTTGTCAATAACTGTTCCTGACAAATATATCTTCTCTCCAGTTTATCAGCATAAACCTCTAACGTAGATAGTTCTTGTGTAGCTCCTCGCGAATTTCTGAAACAAACAAACTGTATATATATATAGGACCTCTTATGGCGGCAAAAATCGATGCGTAAGTGTAGTTCATTAACGTCAGTTTTTGGCAAGAAATAGCCATAATTGGTACCTACATTTTATCACAAAATTGATGGATACTTTAAGAATTTTGATAAATATTATTTGCTCTGGCTCCTCTTTTGTTCCCATTTACGTAATTTATATATTTCACACTTTACTTTGGATTTGATGTACAGGTTTGTCTACTTTGAGTTGGAGTCCTGGATAAATCATAAGAATTTGACTGATTTGGCTAACTGGAGATATTTTCCTTGGAAATAAAGGAGTAATTATGATATTTCAGTTTGTTTTCGAGTTTTTAAAATACTTTGATAAACCTTATATCGGTTTTTGATTTATTTAAAATTATGTGAATGTCGTTTGCAACGATAGAACTGTTTCAAATAATCACATCATCAGCAAATCGTGAAGATATTCATTAATGTTTAGTTAGCACTACGTATTGTCGAGAGGCGTTATCTTTTCGTAGATAACAGACATAGCAGAGTTTACAATGGCTTAGAACGTGAAGACGTACTGGTATATGAAAGTAAAATAACATTCAGGGATTGATGAAGCTCTACAAGGCGATTCAGAAGTCAGGAAACCAGGGTAACCAAGAATTAGTGATATCACTATTATAAGATAAATCAGAAATGGCAAAGTATCAGTGTTAATAGGACCAAGGACAGCTGGGGACGAAACAAAAAATAAGCAGAAAACATCTATTTGCCTGGAGAATTGGCAGGAAGCTAGCAAACAGTTTGATATAAAGTTGAAGTCGGAAGAGAAGAGCGTTGGGAGGTCACGAATGATAGGAAGCAAACGTTATTGACAGGAAGTATATGAGAATGGGAAACAACATGTAGGGTTAACTTACAACAACATTTAGCGTTAACTTACAACAACATTTAGCGTTAACTTACAACAAATATGCAGGGTTAATTTACAACAACATGTAGGGTTAACTTACAACAACATTTATGTTAACTTACAACAACATGTAGGGTTAACTTACAACGACATGTAGGGTTAACGTACAACAACATGTAGGGTTAACGTACAAACAACATATAAGGTTAATTTACAACAAACATGCAGGGTTAACTTACAACAACATGTAGGGTTAACTTACAACAACATGTAGGGTTAACGTACAACAACATATAAGGTTAATTTACAACAACATGTAGGGTTAACGTACAACAACATATAAGGTTAATTTACAACAACATGTAGGGTTAACGTACAACAACATGTAGGGTTAACGTACAAACAACATATAAGGTTAATTTACAACAAACATGTAGGGTTAACGTACAAACAACATATAAGGTTAATTTACAACAAACATGTAGGGTTAACTTACTTCGTATGCTATGAAGCTGAATTGGACGAAGAAGGAAATGATACTCAAGGCAAGAATCGATGAGTTTTATAGGAGTCAATTTTTCAAAAAAAGAAAAAACTCAGCTGTTGTTTCTTAAAAGGAGAACAAATTGTGTGTGTTTCATAGGGAACTTTATTATGTCAGACATTTTCTATTGCTTTTACTAGATCTGGAACAAAAAAGTCTTTGAGCAGTTTCTATCGTTCAAACGTTTAAAGATAGATTTAGAAAGGATAAGTAATATTCAAATTATCTTACTTTATGTCATCTATTATGGATTTCACTTAGAAAACAAAAAATTATTTGTCAATTCTATTTTTTGGATTTTTACCACAACAGCTGGTAACACTTGTAAGCTTATTTGCTGGCTTTCTTCCCTTGTGTAACATGATAACAAGTGGCAAATTCCAAGAAATGAGAACATAGAAGGAAGGACATAACTGTTGCTAGGTGCAAGGATAACTGGAATATTATGTTTCTCTAGGTCCTTTAACTTCCTCTTACAAAATTGGTGAGCTACTTTCTAAACGATAGAGTATGCGTTGTTAGTAGCAACTAGGCAAAATTGGTACCAAAAATGTTTTTTTCTTTTTTCAGCACAGAATGATTGATACTGTTAAATGAAAATGCGTTAAAGTCATAGTCATCAGACGTCTTGAAAATTTAATATGTAAAATGGTTTTAAAGACTATCGCTTTCTGTGTAACACCAATAGTATCTAAGAATCGTAGGGTTATGGCTGAAAATATCGATCACAGCGAGGGTACCCAACTAATGGATCAATGCATTCTTATCATTATATGTATGACAGTACATACTCATTATTAGACCTCTATATTCATTACTTACATTGTTCATTGGGTTAAATTTTAATTCTAATCTCTGTAGATAGTTTACTTTGATCTGAAGTTATTCTTATTATTAATAATGATATAGAGTCCAGGCTATAGATTATTTTGTTCCAAAACGTCTTGGAGGTAGATACTGACAAATACAGCTTGTGACATTGAAATGTTTAAGTTGTTTCGTTACTGGTAACTCTTATGTGTAAGGATTATAATCTTGTATTTGAATAATGATGGAGGCAAGGTGTCTCTGTCAGAAAGACTTATAGGCAGTTGATTGGTATAGCAAAATGAAAGAAATATTGTTTCTCCTCGGTGAGTTGAAAAAAATTTAATTTATCCAAATGTGTAGATGTTGTTGTTTGAAGTTAAGCACAAAGCTACACGATGGGCTTTCTGTGCTCTGCCCACCACGGGTATCAAAACCTAGTTTCTAGCTTTGTAAGTCCGCAGACATCCCGCTATGCCACTGGCGGGGGTCATCCAAATTTGATAAAGTCAAGGTATGTTTTCTCTTGTTAAGATGAAGGTGAATAAGCTGAGGCTTAATTTGATATAATTTTACAGAAATGTTTGTTTGTCTCTGGTGGTTAATCTACCTGGGCCTATAAGATTGATGTTGACCAAATCATGATCTTGGTACTATTTTGTCATGAAATGAGCTGATATATTTCCTATTTCAATTAAAGAATAGAAGCTTTATAAACTATATTATAGAGTTTCTATAAACACAACAGATGAAGTTTCTATAAAAAGTCCAAAAAATTACTTTAGAAATTTCATAGAAAGAATGAAAATAATCTATAGAATTATATAAGATATGTTTATAAATTTCTAGAGAAATCACAAAACTTTTTCATAGAATTTCTATAAAAAGTTATAGAAAAATGAATGTACATTAGAATACATTATGAAAAACATTTGTAGAAAGGATTTGATCAGGAAATTGTAAGTTGTTATAAAAAATCTACATAGGAATTATTATATGGAAGAGAGATCGAACAGGGTAGGAATTTCACACTACATATACATACATAAAACACTTAAAATCAAAATATATATACACACACACACTACTTGCTTATTCTATTTTTACTTTCCTCGTTGTTTTCCGTACGTTTTTGATTTTTCTTTGAGTTTGTGATGGAGAGCACACATATCCCTTGCAAGTGAAGTCTGAAAAAATAAAGGAACACATATTAACAGAACTAACACAAACACATACATAATTATGATATATAATTAACGGAAGTATCCATGTATACACAGTTATATTTGAAGTAAGTGTATACTGAGTGAAAGCATAATATTTGAATTGTGCTTTTAATTTAAAAATGGTTTTCATCATTAAGATTGAACAAAGCACTTTAGTGATCGATAAGACTGATATTAATTTTCTGAAAATATTTCCACTAGTAAGAACAACATGTATCTTGACCGCACCTATGCGCTGCACACCACTGTCGACGAAGCCTTTCGCTCAATACCCAAGCTCATCAGGTCTACTGGGCATGCAACACAAAAACCTCGGTCGAAAGTCTATTTATGTTAGTCATTTACAATATATCAATTATTATGGTGACTTAATGCTGACTAAGTATGATCTACTGATCGATAATGTGTGTGATATTATATCACGATAAGACTGCGGTCAAGTTGCTATCTACGTTGTTGTTCTTACTGTAAACCCGTTGTTAAAAGGCCTGTAAAGTTTGTTTGTTTGTTTGGAATTTTGCGCAAAGCTACACGAGGGCTATCTACGCTAGCCGTCCTTAATTTAGCAGTTAATAACTAGAGGGATGGCAGCTAATCATCACCACCCACCGCCAACTCTTGGGCGACTCTTGTACCAACGAATAGTTGGATTGACCGTCACATTATAACGCGCTCACGGCTGTTAGGGCGAGCATGTTTATTGGGACGGGGATTCGTACCCACGACCCTCAGATTACGAGTCAAACGCTCGAACCATCTGGCCATGCCAGTAAAGAAAGCTTTTGTTTTGTTGTTG